GTGCTGTACCTTGTCAGCCACAAGGCGCCTTTCTTCTCTGGGCTGCCAGAGAATGAGGTCCTTGTGTGGCTGGGAGGGGTTGGGCAGCAAAGGCCAAAGGGTGAGCTTTAGCCGGGCTGGGCTGAAGCCTGCAGGGCTGGGCTTCCACTCCCCCTAACCACTGCAAGTCAGGAGGAAAAGTGGGGAAGAGACCAACTGCCTGATTTGCCCTGGAGGAGCACCAAAAGCTTCAAGCAGCTTTCCTGGCCTCGGGGGGGGCAGCCTGGGAAAAGTGGGGGTGGTGCAACCCTTGGCCAGAGCCAGGCCGAGCCCAAGCCGCCCACGACAGCCAGGCTTCCGGAGAGCTTCTGACGCAGGATCCAAGCAAAAGACTGGAAGGAGGGCCGCAGCAGAGTTCCAATCTGGCTGGCCCAGCACCGGATCTGCTCTGCCAGAAAGCAGCGGGCACTGGCAGCCCTGGCCAAGGGTCTCTGCAAGCCCAAGCCCCAACCCCCTCTGCACCAAAAGACCCCCTGGCCGAGTGCCTGGCTGAGCCGTGGCTTTGCTCCCTGCCTCGGGCCCTAGGATGAGGCAGGTCTGGGCCCACCAGGAGGCCAAGGGCAGCAGCGTGGCTCGCTGGCTGGCATCTGCTACCCAGTGCCCTGGGGTGAAGAGGGGGCTGGCAGGCCTTTCTGGGTTCCAAGAGAAAGCTGGCAAAGCTAGTGCTGGTCCTGGGCAAGGAGGAAGCCAGCTTCTGGACTGGTGCCCCATGTGCCTTGCAGCTGCCCCGGGTCAAATCAGCATCGTTTGCTGGGCATCCCAGCTCCACAGAACGAGACCTTGCAATGGCCCAGGGGAACAAGCACTGCTCAGCAGCAGGAGAGGACTTGGCCCTCTCGAGGGCTTTGTGTTCTTCCCAAAGGACTCTCTCCCTCAGACCCACCACAGAGGAACCCCAAGCCCCCCCTCCCAGTTCCAAGAGCAGAAAGCTTCTGGGTCTCAATCAGATGCTGCTACGAGACCCCGAGCTCAGATTAGTTCTGGAGCCCACCCCAAGCAACAATTAAGCAGACTGGTCAATACCCTCCCCCCC